CATAAGTCATATTCTATGGCATATACTTCGGCCACACATCATGGTATTAAGAAAACCTTCACATATTTCCCTTTTAGGCTTATTAGGGTTCGGCCACTTAGAGGGTGCATGCCTAGAGATAATTTTGACAACATGTTCATGGGTAATACTCATCAAGTTCGGCCATTCAAGGTTAATGCCATTTAGGTGGTGATTCTTCAAGTAATGTTTTCCTACATGTTGTTTAAAACATCTACTTCAACACTTTTCATATTACCTTAAAGAACATATTCAATATCTAGTCCGGTACATATAAATTCGGCCATTTAGGGTTAGGTTGCTTAGTAAATATTGTGAATATTTAGAGGGTGCATGCATACCATTGAGGTTTGGCCACTTAGAGATGATATACTTTAGAGGTGATTTTAAAGATGAAGGATGCATGCATGGCTTTATTAGTCCAAGATCTAGTCATATAAGCTAGTTAGAGTTCATTCTACTCACTTGAAGGGATGAAGGGCTCATGAAATCTTACCTCAAAGATGATGTCTAAAATATAACTCCAACTTGATCTTCAAGTAGTCTTCTAGGATCGAGAGTTGCTTCCAACCACTTCTTAATCTCTCTTTACGTAAGTCTAAGAGGAGAGGAGAGGTGTTGGTTCACTTGTTTCTTGTTTATGAGTGGGTGGCCGACGCTAGAAGTGAGGGAGTGTGTCCTTGCTTTGGTTCTTTAGGTAGTGTACGGCTAGGAAGGGGAGAGATCTTTGTTTGTACACCTTTTTATTCAAGTCTCCCTAATCATCATGCCTAGGATAGGATAGGCTAGGTCTTGGTTGAGTGTGGGGTAAGCAAGTCTCCTCACATTGTTCAAGGTTGTCATAAGCATGGGGAGGGGGTAATGAGAGTGTGTAGAGTGTAGGACACTCAAGGTGTCATATAAGTCACTTATTCTCCTTGGTCCTTTGGGGAGGTGTGCGCATGGGGAGGAGAGGTAATCATGCTTGAGTGTTCTATACTCCATCTCCTTTTCATGAAGTCTTTCACGTGGATCTAGGGGAGGAAGGGATTTTGAGGGTTTCCTTCTTGCATCTCACGCCTAGGGTAGAGAAAGCAAGGTTCAACTTTGATTCACCAATAAGATCATTGGTTAGCGTGTGTCATGGTTGTGTAGGGTACTCAATGTGTGGTGTGTAAAACAAGCAAGCTCCATGTCATGCACCAAGTGATGAGGGGTTCGCATAAAGAGGGAGGGTGGGAGCTTAAGGTGTCATGGTGTTCTTCCCAATGCAGGGAGGTTGAATAAGGTAGCTTTGAGTGTGCAACACTCAATATAGAGTGTGTAAGACAAGTCATGCTCTTGACTCCTTCATGATGACAATTTCGCCTAGGGGGAGGGGAAAAGTGGATCTACTTTTTAATCATGAATAAGGAAAGTATTGGGTTCATGAGTCTTTGATGTGTCATGCATGGCTTGGAGTGTGGGAGAAGAAAGTTTCCCTTTTCATTGTCATGAGTGCGCCCTCCAAGGTGTGTAAGGAGAAAGGGTGAGTTGCTTTTTGGAGAAGATCACATGCATGGTTAAGGCTTGGAGTGTGTCTTACTCAAGCTCTTACTTGTCCATTCTTTCCTTAAGTGGCGCCTAGGGAGTGTGGAAAGCAACACCACTCCCTTTTCTTCTTGTCATGGCCGAGTTTGCCATTGTAGGGGAGGTGGAGCTCATTCAAATTCCTCCAATCATGTGATGACACCTCATCTAGGGTTGTTCCTTTGAATTGGGTTGGGCTTGGTGAGTGTCTTGGCCCATTAAGTTAATAAGTGTTGGACCATTTGTAATTGGGTCAAGGCTAGGTGGTGTGGGCTTGGATCTTGGTCTAGATGCTAATTGGGCCATTTCTTATAAAATGGGCTTGCATTGCTTTGGGCTTGAATCCTTTAACTTAGTTATATTCTTAAGTAGGTTGGGCTTTAACTTTATTTGGGCTTTAAACCACATTGGGCTAAGTTATTAATTATCTTATTTAAAGTGGGTTCTAACTTAGGACTAATGTTGCTTATTCAAAGCTACTCGTTCACTGAATATGGACTTGATCCCTTTTCATTTCATTTCATTAGGCTAATTTCGAGTACAAGATTTTTGGGTTATTACATCCACCCTACCTAATAAAATTTTCGTCCCGAAAATTACAAACATTCTAAGTCGGGATACTTCTGCCGGATCTCGTCTTCTCGCTCCCAGGTTGCCTCTTCGGGAGTCCTTCCTTGCCATTGTACCTTTACCATTGGTATCACCTTGCTGCGAAGGCGCTTCTCTTCTCTGTCAGAATCTTGTAGGGTACTACCGGAATCTTCAAGTTGGGTCTTACTTCCACAGCATCCGGTAACACCACATGTGAGGGATCCGCCAAATACTTCTTCAACTGGCTTACATGGAATACATCGTGAAGATTTGCCAGATTGGGTGGTAATGCTAACTGATAGGCTACCGGTCCTACCCTTTTCAGAATCTGATAGGGACCGATATAGCGTGGGCTTAACTTCTTTACACCGAGAGCTCTACCAACACCAGTAACAGGGGAGAGCTTGATGAACACATGATCCCCTACTTCAAATTCTAGGGGTCGGTGCTTCAAGTCATAATAACTTTTCTGCCGATCTTGGGCTTTCCGCAACCTGTCGCGGATCATCTTAATCTGCTCTGTCGTTTCTTTCACCATGTCCGGCCCGAACATTTCTCTGTCGCCCACTTCTTCCCAGCATACAGGTGTACGACACCTCCTTCCATAAAGTGCTTCATACGGGGCCATACCGATACTGGCATGATGACTGTTATTGTAAGAGAATTCTGCCAATGGCAGATACTGATCCCAACAACCTTCCTTCTCTAAAGCGCAGGCTCTTAACATGTCTTCAAGTGTTTGTATTGTTCTTTCTGTCTGCCCATCTGTTTGGGGGTGATATGCCGTGCTCAATCGCAGTTGGGTCCCAAACGCCTGCTGTAATGAAGACCAGAACCGGGACGTAAACTTAGGATCCCGATCACTGATTATGCTTTCAGGGACGCCATGTAACCTTACAATCTCTTTTACATAAATCTGAGCCAACTTCTCTGTCGTGTAAGTTTTTTTTACCGGTATAAAGTGTGCTGATTTGGTCAATCTGTCGACCACTACCCAGATGGCATCATAGCCTGCTTGAGTTCTGGGTAGGCTGGTTACGAAGTCCATAGATATACTCTGCCATTTCCACTCGGGGATGCTCAAGGGCTGTAGGGTGCCTGCCGGCCGCTGATGCTCAATCTTTACTTTCTGGCACACCATGCACTTGCTTACGTATCTTCCCACATCTCTCTTCATTCCTTTCCACCAGAAATTCTTTTTCAAGTCTGCGTACATCTTGGTGGCTCCTGGGTGTATTGAGTATTGGCTCTTATGTGCTAGCTCCATGACTTCCTCTCTTAGGAGTTTCGTAGGGACGACTATTCTCCCTTGGAAGGTAATTATACCTTGCTGGTTCAGGCTAACACCAGATTGATTCCTTAGCCTCTTCAAACAGTCGACGGCTTGCTGAGCCTGTTTGATCTTTTCTAGTAGTTCGTCGGTGATCTGCACCGCCCAATATTCGGCCTCGCATTCGCTATTCACCACTGCTAGGCCTAAGTTTCGGAAATCCTCTATCAGTTGATGCTCGACTATCATCATGCTTGCGACCATTCTGGTTTTTCTGCTCAAGGCATCTGCAACTACGTTCGCCTTGCCGGGATGGTATTGCAATTCAAAGTTGTAGTCCTTTATGAACTCCATCCAACGGCGCTGTCTCATGTTCAGTTCTTTTTGATCAAACAAATACTTGAGGCTCTTGTGATCGCTGTAAACTGTTGTGGTTGCACCGTACAGGTGATGACGCCATATCTTCAGGGCAAACACGATCGCTGCTAGTTCTAGATCGTGAGTGGGGTAGTTTTCTTCATGCGGCTTCAACTGTCGGGATGCATACGCTACTGGTCTGCCATGCTGCATCAGTACACATCCCAAGCCTATCTTGGAGGCATCACAGTATACCTCAAATGGTTCCTCCGGGTCTGGCAGTGTCAGTACTGGAGCTGTAGTCAACATTCTCTTTAACTCTTGGAAACAAGCTTCACATTCCTCGGTCCACACAAAAGGGACCTGCTTTCTTGTCAATCGGGTAAGTGGCAATACCCGCTTCGAGAATCCTTCAATGAATCTCCGATAGTATCCTGCTAGTCCAAGGAAGCTCCTTATCTCTGTGACAGTCTTTGGTCGTTCCCAATCCACTACTGCTTCAATCTTGCTGGGATCCACTGCTACTCCTTTCTCTGAAATTACATGTCCAAGAAACTGAATCTCTGGCAACCAGAATTCACACTTTGATGGTTTCGCATACAGTTGTTTCTCCCGCAATACTTGTAGCACAATTCTCAAGTGTTCTTCATGCTCCTCTTTGCTCTTCGAGTATATCAGTATGTCATCGATGAATACGACCACGAATCGATCCAAGTAAGGTTGGAAGATCTGGTTCATGTAGCTCATGAATACTGCCGGGGCATTAGTCAATCCGAAGGGAATGACCAAGTACTCATAGTGCCCGTATCTTGATCTGAAAGCTGTCTTCGGGATGTCCTCCGGTTTGATCCGGATCTGATGATATCCTGATCGAAGATCAATCTTCGAAAACACCTTTGCACCTCTTAACTGATCAATTAAGTCCTCGATACGAGGCAATGGGTATTTGTTCTTGACAGTCACCTTGTTGAGTTGCCGATAGTCTGTGCAAAGTCTCATTGATCCGTCCTTCTTCTTTACGAATAGAACTGGTGCTCCCCACGGGGATACACTGGGTCGGATGAAATTCTTCCCTAGCAGGTCTTCTAATTGCTTCTTCAATTCTACCAATTCAAGGGGAGACATACGGTAGGGTGCAATTGAGATTGGTCCAGTCCCGGGAATAAGTTCAATAGAAAACTCCACTTCCCTTTCAGGGGGAAAGGTGGTAATGTCGTCAGGAAATACATCCTCGAATTCTTTGACCACGGGAATGTTCATCAACGGGATCTCGCTCGCACCTACTAGACCGGCTATTAGCATGAAAGTGCAATCTCCTGATTCGACCGGTGGAGTATTGGGGAGTGGGGTCCCCATCATGTCCCCGCCGACTATTATACTTCGGCTGCTACAATCAATTACTACGTGTTGTTTGGCCAGCCAATCCATTCCCAAAATCAGGTTCAGTTTGGCTAAGGGGAGGATTATGAAGTCTTGGTTGTACTTCTTTCCTTTGTATCTGAATTCTACACTTCTACATATGAAGTGAGACACTGTCACTTCCCCCGTCGCAGAGGTGACTTGCATAGGGGATTGCATTGGGCTCATAGTTAGGTTAAAGGCTTTTGCCACATAATCAGCAATGAAGGAATTGGTCGCACCAGAGTCAAATAAAACAGATAGTTCTTCATCACATATATTGATCGTACCTTTAACTAGTTCGGCCGCCTGGTCCGCCACATGTTGATCCAGCGTGTAAACTCTGCCCACTCTTGGCGCCTCAGCGGCTGTCTGTTGTTCTCCCCATTGTGGACAATCTTTGATGAAGTGTCCTTCTTGGCCGCACTTGTAACATTGTGTCGACCCATTCAAACAGTTGCCGAAATGGGCCTTCTTACATTTGGGGCAATTGGGAGCCCTGTTGCCATTTCCTCGAGGATTCCCGGGCCTCTTGAACTTGTTACCATCACGCCTGGGCTGCCACGGTCTGCCTTCGCGTTTTCCTCTCCATTGTCCATTCTTAGCCATCGGAGCTTTGGTTCCAGATCCGCTGGTTTCTGCAGGCTTCCTTGCTTGCAATCCTATCGCTTCCACCTTTCTACATCTGTTCACCAGGGTGGCTAGGTCACAGGGGTCGTTGCCAGCTACCAGTTCCGCAATCCTAGCGGATAAACCCCTTTGAAATTTTGCTGCCAGAAAGTCTGGCATGGGCATAGTTCCTCGGTAAGTTGCCAGTCGGAGTAGTTCGTTGAATTTAGCATGATACTGATCCACCGTCATGGTTCCTTGCACGAGTCGATCAAACTCGCCTTGCTTGCTATCCCGGATTGACATCGGGAAATACTTCTCCAAGAACATTTCTTCGAACATGGCCCACGAAATTGCCACATTTTGCATCACCAAGGGTTGGGACGCATTAGCCCACCAATGATGGGCGTCTCCTTCCAACATATACACTGAGAACAGCACCTTTTGATCATCGGTGCATTGAACCACTCTGAATATTTTGTCCATGGCCTGTAGCCACTGCACAGCTACTATTGGATCGTGTCCTCCTTGAAAGGAGGGCGGCTTGTGCTTCCTAAATGTCAGCAGCAGATCTTGATTATTTCGGCCAGCCGCTCCATGTTCTGGCTGCGGTTGGGGTCCACCACTACCGGTTCCTCCAGTGCCTGAGCCACTTGCGACGTTATTATTATTGGTCGCGTTGTGAGGGTGGCGCCTGATTTCATTCAAAATATTTTGGAAACATTTCCCCTGCATTAGTCTGCATCTGGGTAATGGTGTCCCGTAAGGTGTTAATCTGGCCTTGTATGTCCTCTTGTCCTTGCGGGTTACTGCGAGTAGGTACCCTACGTGGAGGCATAATGCTGCACATATGTTACAGGTAAAATAAAGGAGTTAGAGTGTAATTCTCATCCTAAAGATCAGAAATTTGCTCTGATACCATAAAAATGTAACACCCTTAATAAGGCCATCAAAGGTGTAACATTGCTTGACATTCAATGCGCGGAATCCATGTACTTAAGCGTGGTTAACTTAAAATTTACTAATGGGAATTAATTTCGTTCTTTTCCCTAACTTATCTATTCCTCTAGTCATGAGTTTCTCTTTTCTTTGTCTACGGTCTACTTACAAGTTAATCTCTACTTGGTTACCCTACTTATACTTATGCGTTATTTTAGGGGCTCACTTACATGATCATAATTTTAGTGTTGACTACTACCCAGTAGGTAGTTACTTAAGTGTCTTATGCGGATAGTGACTTATGTTACTTAATCTTTCCTACTAAATTCATAAGTCCATAAAACATAAACATCCCAAAATATCGTACTTCAAAGGCATATAAGATGTTCAAAATAGTCTAAGTGGCATAGTCTATTACAGTCATCCCAAATTAGAACTTAGGTACACCCTTAGGAAGGTGCCTCTTCAAGCCACATGGGCCCAGCTAGAGCAGATATAATATAGTCTGCCTCCAAGAGCTTTCCTTCGGCTAGTAAGTTCCTAAATATCTCCAATAGTTTGGAGTCATCATCAACTGCACGTGGTTGCGCAGGTTCCTCTTCAACTCGTACCAGCCTCTTTCCCTGCCTTACCCATTTAGTCATTTTTTTCCTGAAAGTGGGTTTCCCCAAAGAGGGGTGAGATTGGGGGTCTCAGTAAGGACTCACAGTTGGAGCAACCTCCAAACCATGATGCTTACTCCTGCAATAGTCACATAATAACATGTACAATAATAGAATGGCAAAACATTGGAAACATAGTTTGGAAAATAATCATGCTTTCATATCATCATACCAATCCTGCCATGGCAATTACTCTCCATGGTCTTATGGACGAATACCCAGGGTCCTCGTCAGGTTGCCTCTGTGGTATTAGTGCACAGGCCATCTTACAAAACTTGCATGAATAAACATTAGTTCCAAACAACCAAACATATCATGTAATGCATCATATAACATATTGCAGTCAAACCTCACTTTAACATAAAGGGGTGGCAACCATAGGGTAGCCGCTTCAACAACCATAAATCACTTACACTTTTTCGCTTTGTAAATTCTTCCCGTAGGTGATGGATTCGGCCAAATGAAGGTCCTAGTATCTTGGATCTCTTTTCAAGCTTTGGTTTGTCCTAGTCACATATTCAACCTTAGTACATGGTTCTAAAATTAAAAGATCTAAACTTTAATATTCTTCATGTCATAGGTTCGGCTCTCTAAGGAAAAATGCCTAGGAGATAATTTTTACTAATTGTTTTCATGCATAAGTCATATTCTATGGCATACATTTCGGCCACACATCATGGTATTAAGAAAACCTTCACATATTTCCCTTTTAGGCTTATTAGGGTTCGGCCACTTAGAGGGTGCATGCCTAGAGATAATTTTGACAACATGTTCATGGGTCTAATACTCATCAAGTTCGGCCATTTAGGGTTAATGCCATTTAGGTGGTGATTCTTCAAGTAATGCTTTCCTACATGTTGTTTAAAACATCTACTTCAACACTTTTCATATTACCTTAAAGAACATATTCAATATAGTCGGGTACATATAGATTCGGCCATTTAGGGTTAGGTTGCTTAGTAAATATTGTGAATATTTAGAGGGTGCATGCATACCATTGAGGTTCGGCCACTTAGAGATGATATACTTTAGAGGTGATTTTAAAGATGAAGGATGCATGCATGGCTTTATTAGTCCAAGATCTAGTCATATAAACTAGTTAGAGTTCATTCTACTCACTTGAAGGGATGAAGGGCTCATGAAATCTTACCTCAAAGATGATGTCTAAAATATAACTCCAACTTGATCTTCAAGTAGTCTTCTAGGATCGAGAGTTGCTTCCAACCACTTCTTAATCTCTCTTTACGTAAGTCTAAGAGGAGAGGAGAGGTGTTGGTTCACTTGTTTCTTGTTTATGAGTGGGTGGCCGACGCTAGAAGTGAGGGAGTGTGTCCTTGCTTTGGTTCTTTAGGTAGTGTACGGCTAGGAAGGGGAGAGATCTTTGTTTGTACACCTTTTTATTCAAGTCTCCTAATCATCATGCCTAGGATAGGATAGGCTAGGTCTTGGTTGAGTGTGGGGTAAGCAAGTCTCCTCACATTGTTCAAGGTTGTCATAAGCATGGGGGGGTAATGAGAGTGTGTAGAGTGTAGGACACTCAAGGTGTCATATAAGTCACTTATTCTCCTTGGTCCTTTGGGGAGGTGTGCGCATGGGGAGGAGAGGTAGTCATGCTTGAGTGTTCTATACTCCATCTCCTTTTCATGAAGTCTTTCACGTGGATCTAGGGGAGGAAGGGATTTTGAGTGTTTCCTTCTTGCATCTCACGCCTAGGGTAGAGAAAGCAAGGTTCAACTTTGATTCACCAATAAGATCATTGGTTAGCGTGTGTCATGGTTGTGTAGGGTACTCAATGTGTGGTGTGTAAAACAAGCAAGCTCCATGTCATGCACCAAGTGATGAGGGGTTCGCATAAAGAGGGAGGGTGAGAGCTTAAGGTGTCATGGTGTTCTTCCCAATGCAGGGAGGTTGAATAAGGTAGCTTTGAGTGTGCAACACTCAATATAGAGTGTGTAAGACAAGTCATGCTCTTGACTCCTTTCATGATGACAATTTCGCCTAGGGGGAGGGGAAAAGTGGATCTACTTTTTAATCATGAATAAGGAAAGTATTGGGTTCATGAGTCTTTGATGTGTCATGCATGGCTTGGAGTGTGGGAGAAGAAAGTTTCCCTTTTCCTTGTCATGAGTGCGCCCTCCAAGGTGTGTAAGGAGAAAATGTGAGTTGCTTTTTGGAGAAGATCATCACATGCATGGTTAAGGCTTGGAGTGTGGAAGAAGCAATCTTCCTTTCTCCATCATTTTGCGTCATCCAAGGTGGGTATGGAAAGTAGAGTTGCTTTTGGAGGAAGGAAATCACATGCATGGTTAAGGCTTGGAGTGTGTCTTACTCAAGCTCTTACTTGTCCATTCTTTCCTTAAGTGGCGCCTAGGGAGTGTGGAAAGCAACACCACTCCCTTTTCTTCTTGTCATGGCCGAGTTTGCTATTCCAAGGGAGGTGGAGCTCATTCAAATTCCTCCAATCATGTGATGACACCTCATCTAGGGTTGTTCCTTTGAATTGGGTTGGGCTTGTGTCTTGGCCCATTAGGTTAATAAGTGTTGGACCCTTTGTAATTGGGTCAAGGCTAGGTGGTTTGGGCTTGGATCTTGGTCTAGATGCTAATTGGGCCATTTCTTATAAAATGGGCTTGCATTGCTTTGGGCTTGAATCCTTTAACTTAGTTATATTCTTAAGTAGGTTGGGCTTTAACTTTATTTGGGCTTTAAACCACATTGGGCTAAGTTATTAATTATCTTATTTAAAGTGGGTTCTAACTTAGGACTAATGTTGCTTATTCAAAGCTACTCGTTCACTGAATATGGACTTGATCCCTTTTCATTTCGTTTCATTAGGCTAATTTCGAGTACAAGATTTTTGGGTTATTACACGTGCCAACGACGCGCGCAGTAGCTTAAAACAGTGTTTTCTCTGAACGACCGAATAACTCCGAACTCACCTAATCAAGTATAATTAAAAGAGAATGGTTAATGTTAAAAATTAGAGTTTCTAAATAGGTTGTGAATTTACGGACATTTAATGGAATCGTAGAGAAATTCGGATGAGTTTTAAGTCGCGTGAGGTGGCGTGGGACCCACCCCACTTAAAATCCACTTAATCCACCTCATCACCACTATTCATCATCACCTTCTCTCCTCTCCCTTCAGAAAAAACCGAGCTGCCCCCCTCCCCTTAGCCATTTTTGGTTCAAACTTTCTTCCTTGCTAAATCAACCAATTCTCAACCAAATCAAGTGATTTTTGTGTTGAAATTTGTTGGAAACAACCTTCCAAACACATTGGTGGTATCCATTAACCTTGAAACCCTCTTATTGGCGAGTTATTGCCCAAAGTCAGCTGCGAATTTTTGAGAAAAATGGAGCTTCATGGAGTCATTTGAGCTTCCATTGCTTGGAGGAGTCTTGGGGGTAGCTTCTAGCCTTTGTTGTGAGTATGTTTCCATCCCATTTACATGGTTTAGTTGTGATTGAATTTTTGGAAACCTAAAGCTTGATTTGATGATGTGTTGTGTTAGGGAGAGAAGAAGGTTGAAGGGAGTGATTTATAACCAAACATGGGTTTTGTGGAACAATTTACACTTAATGGGCCTCAACTTTTGAGGACCATCATCACCCCAAAACTAGATATTACTCGTCCCGAGTAATCCTTCATAACCGACAGTCTTCTTGTGGCAGGCTAATTCTCCTTGAGATTATCAATGAAGAGTTAACTTAACTCCTTCCATTGCTTCATTAGAGCACTCATCTGACTTGTGAGTTTTACCAGCTTCAGTGTGTGTGTGACCTCTTCCACTCTTTTAGTTAGTTTCCCACAGAGTTACTTCCGGATTGAACTTTTTGGCTTGATTTCTTCTCTACTTCTTAGCTCCCTTCTCTATTTCTTTCT